TGGAGGTGGAAATCCAATCATTGGAGGAAAAGCTAAACTAGCTGCAGCAGCAGCAACAACTGGTGTTGGAAGTTCATGTTGTTCCAATTGTCTAGCTACTTGATTATATGTATTTGCACCAATTACAGGTCTTACCATTGGTGTAACTAATTGTCCACCAATCTCAGCTTCAAACCTAAAAATTAGTTTAAATTTCTGATTAATTAATATTATTTATACTTGAGATACAAATTTTTAATCATACAGTACCTGCATGTAAACTTGTAATAATTTATAAAAAGAAACTACATAATTTACTGTATAAATTGTAAACAATGCAACACTTTTAAAAGCATAAATGTCATAAATAGTTATAGGTTTGAAAAAATAAGTGGTTAATATATACATTATAAGTATAAAATGAAAAGAAAAAAAATAAATAGGTTAGAAAGCTTGTATATGTTTGTAACTACTTAGTACCTGTTCATCTCATCTTCCATTTGACGTAATTTATCATCCATTTTGGTACTCTTATTGTTTCTTATTTCTTCAATAATTTAAATAAATGCTTATGAATTAATAAATTATCTATTACTAAATATAACTCTAAAATAGACCAACTATTTATGCTCTGAATATTGAAGAATTATATTACTACTGATATAAGATATATAACAATCCTACCAATGCAAGCTATACAAAAATGGTTAATGTGCTATATAGATATAAAACTATTCTTTAATTAATTAATGTTCGTATAATCATTAGAAAACTATAATATATTTTTTTCTTTGAAATTATTAGAAATATCATCTGAAATAATTTTGAGAATACAGTATTCAATAAAAGTAATCTTGCTCTACAGTTTACTACACTGTCAACGTTGGCCATTCAACACAAACTTCTCATATGTTAAGTATACATTCAACATGATTATGTACAAAACTGCTATTTTTCTATTTTTTATTATTGTCAACACATCGAATAAATACGTAACTGCCGAAAATGACGAGGACACATCGACAGATTTGTATGTCATTGAGGGTAAAGTTTTTCCATGGGAGAATAGCGCATCAAATGGATGGCAACTAATGACTCATGTTATGGCTAACGGTGGAGAACATTATGGATTTCTACGGTAAATTTGTTAACTGTCTCTAACTGATAAAAATTGAAAAGTTATTTATATAAACAACAAAGTACAATAATCGTTGGTCAGACATAAAAATTGCATAAAATAATTGCTTTCTCAAATCTTGTACAGGTTAGGTTTACCATTAGTATTTTTGTAAACACATTACATTTTTTGTATAAATACATTTAATACTTTTAGGGAGGATGGAACATTTATTATTTCAAATGTACCATCTGGATCATATGTAATTGAAGTTGTAAATCCAAACTGTGTTTATGAACCTGTAAGAGTAGAAATTAACTCAAAGGGAAAATTTAGGGCAAGAAAAGTTAATTTAATTCAAACATCACAAGTAATACAGGTTCCCTACCCATTAAAGATGAGACCACTGACACCATTCCGCTATTTTCAAGTTAGAGAGCAATGGAGAGTAACAGATTTCTTATTTAACCCAATGGTACGTATATTATTTTACATGTTTTTCATTATCCTATCATTTTATATCATTTTTTATACCTTTTTAGGTCTTAATGATGATACTACCATTATTGCTAATTATGATTATACCAAAAATTATGAATGATCCAGAAACTAGAAAGGTTGGTAAATAATTTGAACAACTTGATTATATAACTTTTATCATATATAATATTGAAAAATATATGTAAATATAGTTTTAATCTTTAATTTTAATATTTGTTCACTTTACTAGGAAATGGAACAATTAAATAATTTCACCAATTATAACATACCAGAAATGTCAGAAGTAATAACAGCATACTTATCTAGTGGAGAGAAGCAAAAATCAAAAGCAGTAAAAGCTGCAAAAAAAAGACAGTGATATAAATACCTTTAGGATATTTGTAGGTTTACTCTAGCTTTTAGTTCTTAATAACATTTTAGAGAAAGGTAATAATCTTTTTTTTTCAACCCTTTTTTTATTTCTATGTAGCTTTGTTACATTTGAAAAAGTAACAGTGAATTTTCAAGATTGTATTTTAGTGCATAATTAAATACACTAGTACTTGTTACAAGTTATGCAATACAAATATTTTATAAATTGCTATTGTGAAATAGTAAATTTTAAGAAAGTAACAAAAATAAACCACATGGAAAGTGTTAATACAATAATCTTTTTGTTTTATATATTAACAATCAATAATTTTGCATGTTACCCATCAGTTCTTTATATTGTTTAGAAAATATCCATAAAATCATTAATATAAATACTGAATGTTATTAAGAATAACATAATTTGAGGTTACATCAGTTAATATTTAACAAAACATATTTGTAGTTTAAAAATAATTAAAATATCTTAAAACTATATTTATATCTTTACTCTATTGTTGAAGAGAATGATTGAAATCTTCATACATTACAAATATGTTCAATGTAACTGTTTAGAGTACAATGTATGTAATACTATTCTATTTAAAAGTATAACATTACTTAAATAATTATTATATAACATTATTTCCAAACAATTTTATGAAATTGTTATACAAAGTAATGAAACAAATAATAATGGAAAAACGATTTACATTATATTTCTAAATTATGTACTGTGTTACAAGTTAAATAAATTTGTATAAACTTTAATACAAATAATAATGTACACTTATAATTATGTTAAATATTTATTACCGTTCATACTCATGTATTTTTTTTAACGTAGAATAATTATATGATTAAAATGAAGTATAAAATACCAATCAAATAAGATATTTAATAGTGCGCATTGATATTACTATTTATGTTATGTTTATTATCTGACATAAACATCAATTTTTGTAAAATTATCTCTAATAAAAATAAATATTTCATTTAAATTTTACATACATAGTAATATTAATTATTGTTCTTTAAACTTTACAATCGAAAGAATAATTCATAATTCAGTAATAATTTGTAATTTTTAAAATAGTTCAAGAACAACTCTACTTTCTGCTCATTTCTTTTCAGTAAATAGATTACTATTAAAAAAAAAAAATAGCAAAAACGAACAAGGTAAAGAAGGAGGAGAGAGAGCGATGTTCTACAATAAATTAATAAGTACATTAAAAAACTTACTTTCATATATTATTATATCACAGATTGTTTTTTCAGTCTAGATTAAAATATTTTATGCCTATTAACAAATTGTATACAAATATTAGTATATTACAGATATCCTAAATAAATTAATCATTTAACACAATCACTATAAGCTTTACATATTTAAATTTACATACTTTAGCTTTACATACTTAAATATTTAAATTTCTTATTTGTAACATACGTTCTCTGGCTGCTTTAAATTGTTCAAAAACATTCTCTACATTAGTCATAAGTTTATTTGTACTGAGTCTTTGAAAGTAATCTATCTGATCACTATCTTTAATTGAACTATGAGTTTTGTGAATAATATTTATATTTAATTTTATATAACCACTGGATGTAACCATTAATTGTGACTTATTTAACATTTTATCTTCATATCCTTTGGGGATACTGCAGTAAGTTATATCTTCCAATTCATAAGTACCACCTGTGAAAAATCTTCTAAGAGAATTAATAATGCTTCCTGTTGGTCGCCAAGTTGGAAGTTTGAATCTATATGAACCAGGTAATACAGGCAAAGGCATTGCTGTATAACCCTCTGTACGGTATCTGAAATTTAAAACATTTTATGTATCCTTCATTTCACATTTTTATTTCATTTACAAAATCTAAATATTCAAGTTAATCACCTGAACCAGCTATCAAGTGATGTAACTGTTAGTAACAATCGAGGCCAAGATGATGAAACATAGTTTTGATCAGTCATATATGTTGATTGAAAATTTAATACTATTTCAGTGGCATAACTAAAATATGCAGAATTATTCTTTAAGTTACATCTCTGAGTTCTTCCAAATAATCTATCAGTTTGATTTGTACTCCATTGCTCTGGTAAGTCTATGTGATAAGAAATGCAAAGTCCATCAAAGAAGAAGTCATGAGCTGACAAAATATCCAATTTTATGAAAAATTTATGTACATTTGGTGATAATAGCTGCAAGCCATGACATATTTCAGCTCCTTTGTACATCAGATGCTCTTTAATTTTCTGTAAAATA